TTTTTTTTTTTTTTTTTTTTTTTTTTATTGTGAACCAAGGCCATCGCGACCGCTAGAGTGAATGTTTATGTTCCACCACAGGTTACACATGCACAAACATTACTGTATTGTAGAACACACCCTCGCTTGTGTATCACACTTTCTTAAGTGTTTTTTTTCAATATAATATTTTCCATGAAACATATACCAACGAAAAATAAAAAGGTGTCAGCTTTTGGAAACACTACCTGAGTTTTCGTTGTTGATTAGCTTTGAGCCGACTATATCTGGCAGCCATCGCTTGATTGTCAGGTAGACTTGGGTGTCATTTTGTTTAGAACGACCAAGAAGTTTACGTCGTTCTCTAAACACCTTGTTTGTTTGTTTGACACCTTTCTCCACAGGCATGTAAAACGACATGTCTTTGTGTTCAAGTCACTTAGACTAGGGTACGAGCGGTTTTAGAAAGTGTGTACCGGTGAATTAACTGGTAAATAGCACGGATATTTTTTCGCTCGAACGGGCCCTAAGAAGGAAGTTAAAGGATTTATTAGACAATGATAAACAGAAATTAGGTCTACATACCAGGACATCCTGTCTGTAAATTGCTCAGGACTTCGTATTATGTTTGTTTTAGAAAGTATAATACATACTCCAAGTAGGGCCTATTGAAATACACGCCATCGTGTTGGGATTCAAATTTCAATACTTGGAGTATGTATTATACTTTCTTATCTGAGATTAATCAGTGGACCTTGCGATGTTTGTTTTCCAACTACAAACTTTTTATATTTGTATTGCAATACTAATACTAAGCACACAAGGAAGTAACTGTAAAAACTGTTGTATAATTATTCAGTGCTCAGTCTAAATTTAGAATCCAGATTCAGAAATTCTGCTCTGAATCAGTGACAGTATAGGAGAAAACGACATTGCTAAAAGTCACATATTTTTAGACCTACCAAGGAGTAACATCATTACAGCTGTGGACTTGAAGATGTACGGTACAGCATGTAGGTGGATTTTTATTCAAATAGCTACACAAGTCTGCTTGTACCGACTTACGGAATCTACAGGTAAGTGTAGAGTTATTATGTCGAAAATCCGTCAAAATTTCATTTATATTAATAGACACACACCATTTTTACCGGAGTCATTTTTACACTAGTGGCGCCAGAAACTCCCCGAAAAGGTGTCCAAGCTCTCCTACAAGGGGGTCCACACCCGAACGTTGGGACCGAATACTGAGTCGAGGAAGCCTTGCGATTCAAGATTATTCCTATGTTTGCGTAAAATGATTTACCTTTAAAGTAAATGTGTCTACATTATTTGAATTTAAGCCTAAAGTTAGATCAAAAGAATCAATTGTGTATGGTAAAACTTCCAATTTTCTATTAAAAAAAAACACTCAATACAATACATTGGATCAGTGGATGGATGGATCAAAACTGTTATATACTACAAAACAAAAAAACAAACTCATATAATTTTGAATAAATTAGGAAAACGCGTTTGGGGTTTCTCAAGAAAAGTACAAATTATTTCAATTTTGTTAAACTATGGCTTGTTAAAATATCTAATATATATAATAATAATAATAATAATAATAATAATAATAGTAATAATAATAATAATAAGGAACTTGTAATTTCACTCTACAGGCTGTTTCATGCACTAGGCAATCTTCAGGAGTGGAGGGAATTTCAAATTTGACGTGTATATGTAGAGTTGGGCCGGTGTAGATGCAAATTAGGTATTATGTGTTTTTGAGTAGGAATTTGGCAGTACAAGATATTATAACAAAAATGAGTATGAAGGGATTGAAAAGGTGAGTTGATATTGGCCTACCTGTTGATGTACAAAAAGGCACAGGAAGAAAGACATTATTGTAAGAATTAAACTGTTTAAATATGGTATGTAAAGTAGAATACCTAGATGAGTCTGAAATAAAATTAGAAAAAAAAGTATTCAATCATTTTAGTAAATTAACTTTACACTTTGGAAGTTCATAAGAAATTAAATTAAAATATTTAAAATTTTATTTTATTACAAATCAAAATACGTCATTATGATATTATATAAAAAGATAAAACACCGTATCAAAAAAATTGCACATACCTTAAAATGCTACAGCAAGACTAAACAGGTTAATTAGCTGTGTCAAATGGCTTATAAACTAATACTTTGATAAAAAATAATGACTTTACTGTCGATATATACGGGATCGTTTTGGTCGTTTTAGCTGTTTTAGCATTGTTATGCAATCACGCATATTATATTTATGTGGTTTAACTCACTATAAGACTATGTAATAAAATAAGTTATTGATTGTTTGTGTACAGGGTTAGAGTGTATAAATTCCACCTCAGCAAACCGATTTCACTCTCCACCACCCCCGGGCTGCTTACAACGTAAGTTCGAAGTGTTCTACCCTATAATAATATCAGTTAGTTTACTTTAAGTTTGACGCAGAGTATATCTGGACTCACGACATTAAGAAATTAAATTAAGAAACTAAGTTACTATAGGAAGTTGTAAGTCTTAGTTTAGTTAGCTTAATTTAACACCGCCGGCTACTTTCGAATTGTTCCCTTTACAGCTTCCGAGTTACACTAAAGTATAACCTGTTTCCGTCACTTTAGGCTTCCGGGTTATACACAACATCCTATGAGTGCACACAATACTGTAATACTTTTTGTTAGCTAAGCTCTGCTACAAAAAGTTGCTTTTAACTTTTTAAGACGTATGATGTCAGGGGCGGCGCTAGCGGGGGCCCGGGAGGGCAAAGGACTCCCCGTCGGGGACCCCTAGACCCCCGCTTGGACCGCTGTAGGGGAATTTTCAGCGTCAGGGAAAGATCAAATCTCGATAACTGAAAGTACAATTAAGGTGTTCCTTAATAAGCTTTTAATTTTTAGGGATTCAAAAATGTTTAGTGTGTGCAGTGCTCCGTATGTGCGAGGTGTTTCGATCGTATGGGTTGCAGTGGTCGCGCCAGCGCTTCTCCGAGGGGCTATATCCTACAATGGATTAGTACCTCCGACGGGGAGACTCTTAACTTGCATGGTTTTCTATCAAATTATGCATTTTTAAATAAAGAATCCCATTATTGACACAACATTTTATTATGTTTTAATTTAAAAAAAAGAAAATACTGTAGTAATAATTTTCCACGACGGGTGGGAATCGCAAGGCTTCCCCGACTATTCGGTCCCAAAGATCGGGTGTGGACCCCTTTGTCGGAGAGCTTTGACACCTTGTCGGGGAATTTCTGTCACCACTAGTGTAAAAATAACTCCGGCAAAAATGGCCCTGGTAGGGAAATTATTATAATGGTTAAAGAGTATTGTTAAACCCGCAAACCTCCCAAAACCAAACCATGTAATTGTGATTGACTCACTTGGTATATCAACAGAAAATTAAATTAATTCATATTAATCTTTTATTCTTTGGATAGAATGTTAATTTTATTTTATTATTTTATTTATTTTTTTTTGTGAAAAATAGCCTACCCACAATTACATTTCAAACCTTAAAAAACAGACCGCGAACCTTATCCAAACACTTATGATTGTAGGATTCTCTTTTCATATCATTAAACATTTTATTAATTTGATGTTCATAACAAACTTCTTTTTGCGGGTTTAGGAATATGCAGATGGAAGCTAAAAAAATCTGGAAATTGCGATTGCGCTTCCGTGAAATTGACCACAACTAAATTATTTTAGTATTAAAAAATGCAGATTTATGTTAATTTATTGATTAAATTATTGCTATTTTTCAACATTTAAATGTAAAATAAAATAAAAATAAAAAAATGTTATTCATATATTATGTTTTATTGAACAAAAAAAATAAATAAGTAATAAATAAAAAACAAATAAATGAAAAAAAAAAGTTTTGATACTAAATGTTATCATTGGAGGCTTTTTTTTTCCGAGACCACAGGGGCCATTTTTACCTACATCCTTTGCTGATAATGCTTTTTAGGGTTTACAATATTTCATTATTACATACACTCACTTAAGTCTATCTTTCTACTATCGGTGAATCAAATTACCACATTGTTACCACTTTGACTTAAACCTATAATTATAGACTTATATTCATATAATTTGTGTATTTTGATATGGGCTATATTTAATTTTCTCACTTTGCCCACACTTTTGTCTCTTCTTTGTAATGATTTCATGAAAAGCAATAAATATTACTTGCTTTAACACGCTGCGTCATAGGCTATTCCAGCTATGACCACATTCATAATTAATAAGCCTTTCAGTTTTTCTTTTTTTATTATTCAGTAAGTAGTACTGTAAAATAACATGGCATTTCAATTCATCTTGTGACATTACAAAATCATGTATTTTTGTGTAAGATCCACTGGATATAACATTCTACTCAGGATCACCAGACAGTTCAAATGTCCGTGGATACGCGCTTAAAGACAGCAAAACAACAGATTTATCAATCGGTATATTAAACAAGAATAACAAGGAAAATGTAACCTGGACTGATACTGGATATTCAGGAGATGACAACACAGGGAGTGAAGTACGAATGAACATGCCAGAAAATAAAATATTTGACACACCAAGCAAAATAGCATACAGGATACATGACAATTTTGTTTATCTCGGTGTTAAAAATTTACAAAGCTCTCAAGCAGTCGGCGTGTTTTCATTTGAAGCTACTAAGTCTACAGTGGTTACCAGGTCGGCAATTGTTGTGACGTCAGTATCAGGTGAGTACGTAACGACTCTTTATCATTTTACAGCAGTTTTATATGAGTAATTTTAATTTATCTATTTGATTGTTTTAAATTGTCAATTACAAATCGTACTTCGCTTTTAATGTGTTGGATTTCATGAACATCAAAGAAAGAAAAATAAGCATTATATTTCAAAATCATCGCCGGTATGTAATGATCGTAATAATACAAAACACTTTAGCATAATAACATGTATTTAATATCTGTGGTGGTGGCGTGTTTTTGTCTATACATACTAAATGTAGCCGCCGTAGATCGAAACGTATATATTTTAGTTAGACTGTATTATTTTACACCGTAGATACGACGACAAACTTTCAAGAACGTTGGTATAGATTAGCGATTATATATAGATTAGTGATTTTAATGTATGTTAATTTATAGGCGCGTACTACACGGATACATAGCGTACATAATGTTTGGATTTACAGTAGTTATTGATTCTAGTCAGAACATTAAACAAAATATAATTCTGAAACGTACGCCGGCTAAAAGGGTTTAGTGCAATTGTTCTTTTTATCTTGGCAGTACTTCACGTACTGTAGTCCTTATTGATTAGGCTTGGAAAATAGCAAGACTGAAACAAACATTTTATTTTTGATGAAAGTTTTATTTTTAGAATAAGGCTGACTACTGTACAGTATCTAGATTTAGAGTATTTAGATTTGCGGAAGACACTAATTCACTTGATAATTTTCGTGAGTGTTGCAACGATAGGTTCAGTCCCTATTATATTTTCATACTTCTTCGCAAATCGCTTAAATTTACGCTTGATTTTACGCTGAACTTTACGCTTAACTTGTACTTGAATTGATAGCACAATATGCTAGTCTGTCTGTTACCAGTAAACGCGGATATTGTGTTATGTCTGTTTTGAAGACGTGTTAATAAAGTACTGTAGAGTTAGCGCATAATTCGAATTTGTATGTTTCTCTTGTTTATTTTCACACTCACATCATTTGCAAAGAATTAGTGAATCAATTTGAACATCGTTAATCGTTAACGATCGGATGTCCACCAAGAAGAAGAGGCACGGAGTGTCACAATTAAAATATCGAAAATATCTGTTCCAAGCAAGGGCAGATAAGGCGAAGAAAGAATTTGTGAGTAAAAATTTCGAATTAGATAAGAAAGGAAATGGAGACTAAACTGAACGTAAGGTATTAGAAGCGCAAGCAAAATTGTGCCATGGCAAAAGCTAGTGCTATGATTTGGGATAATGAATCCAACTGTTCTTATGGTAACGAAAATGATAATGTGCTGAGTAATCTACCACCTATTGATGCGACTAGGAAAACTGCCGAATTCATCATGCAATACACGCCAAACGAAGAATTATGTGGCAATAGTGAAGAACAGCCAGAGGCAGGGACGTATCCAGGGTCGGGGGGAGGGGAGATGTGGGAGCCGCGGCTCTCCCACCCCTTTTGTACACAGTGTTAACATTTTAAAAGCTTATTCTTGAGCCGATACAAATTCTTTCCTGGGATCACTCAAAATGTATACTTCTAAAACATGTTAATATGCATCAGTACACGTTATACATAGACCTAATAGAACACATAGGCCTAAGCGTGATTTTAAAAAATCTTAAATCCATAAATATCAGGTCAGGTCTTTTAAGATAGAAATGCGATACTGTGGTTCAAATTCGTTTTTATCCTTTTCCAAGTTTCTTTAAATTTTTGTTTAATAATACTACTACTAACAATAGTGATATTATAATAATAACAATGATGATGATGATGACGATAGTAATAATTGATAATAATATTATTAGCAATGAAAATTAAGAAAATTGTGCTAAATGCGAAAAAAGGTTGTGATTTGTTGATTATAATATAGTATAATATATAGTTAAAGATTAGTAAGCTATAGTTAGGCCTAAGGTTTCCTGGATATTAAGTAGATCCCTGACAAAAGATCATGAGAAATTTGTTGGCGTTTCATATTGACTATAATGGTCTTGTGATGATGATGAATTTAACTATATAAAAGTGTCATTTCCGGCCATCTCGAGAGGTACCGTACTATTTCCTCAAATTTTCTCACCTCAGCCCCAGGCATGGTGGGGCTGAGTTGGTTGTGAAATAACGTTTTTGAAGTAGGCCTATGTAAAGTACATACTCAAGGACAATGTTTTAAGCTTTGTTTTCTGTTGTATATCACACACACATTAATAAGATCTCTATGGTTGTCAAAAATCCTTGATAAAAGAGCATGAGAATTTTTTTGGCGCTTCATTTTGACTAATGGTGATGTGACGATTATGAATTTTACTAAAAGTGTCATTTCTGGCCATCTAGAGGTACTATATAATTTAATTTATGTGTTTTTTTATGTGTTATTTTATTTGAAATTCTATGTTGTATGTTATACTCTTGTGAACGCACCGTCATCGTGTGCGACATTTTTAAAAGTGAATTTTCAAATAAAGATTATTATTATTATTATTATTATTATTATTATTATTATTATTATTATTATTATTATTATAATTATTATTATTATTATTATAATTATATTATTATTATTATTATTATTATTATTATTATTATTATTATATATTTTTTCGCAGCCAATATTAGAATGCAGTTTCGAACGATGACTGTCGGAATTGGGGAATCCGTCACTATCAAACTCAGTAAAGGCAGAGATTATACCAACTTACGATGGAGACAAAATTATGGTGACGCAATTCAAATGTGGAACGGTGAATCGTCCGTTACGATTTCAAATATACGCGCTAATGATGACGGGGTATATGAATGTTATAACGATGGCAGTCCCGTTGACAACAACCGCGGAGTAATGAGACTCATTGTTAGAGGTAAATAAGCGATTCATATTCAAAATCATGGTTTTTGTCTTTAAATGTATCAGTCATAAGCCCTACTTCTCCAACTTACCTTTCTAAGAGCATTTCCCTTCTTTTTTACCGTAGATCAGTTTTACGTTCGGAATCTGATACTACTCTTCTTACTGAACGTAGTATAATCAAAAAACTAAAATCTGTTCATTCCTGGTCTTTATTATTTTTATTCTGCTTCTCACATCTGAAAAAAAACATTGTTAATTATTATCCGCGATTCTGACACTTTCAAAAATAAGAAAAAAAAATCAAACAAACAAACAATTGGAAACCTACCTAACTAATGTCTCATACTTCCCTGAACTGTTTACTTGTTGGTGATCTGCATCTCAAGCGCATCACCACTTGTAGACCGGGAGCCCAGAAAATTTAATCATGTGAAAAGAGACAAAAGGTGTGATGGTCTGGTCATGATAGTATAGGGCCAAGATACAATATTCAGTATTGCTGCCGGGGCACATTCTGTACAAGCGGGCTGGGGGAAATGAAATAGAGGTTTAAATAATGCATTTAATCATGTGGAGAGAGACATGGATAAAAATAATTGGATATTACTCCCAGGTAGATACTTGCAATAATGTCACAGGTGACAGCAACTTTTACCTGTACGTGACCTTAAACAGTGACATTAAAGGCCACGCCCAAATACATTTAATCATGTAAAGAGAGACACGGATGCATTTTTTTTTTATTGGAACTATTATACATTGGGGGTAACAAAAATACCAATGACAGCAACTTTATCCTGTACATAAGCCCAGACAGCAACCCCAAGGGACCTACGAGAGTCTTATATAGTAGCAACATGATAAAATCCAGCAAAGAGAGACGTGAATGAAACCAACTAGGAATTACTACTTGTGTATTGTATTGTATTTAATCATGTAAAGAGAGACACGGATGCATTTTTTTTATTGGAACTATTATACATTGGGGGTAACAAAAATACCAATGACAGCAACTTTATCCTGTACATATGCCCAGACAGCAACCCCAAGGGACCCACGGGAGTCTTATATAGTAGCAACATGATAAAATCTAGCAAAGAGAGACGTGAATGAAACCAACTAGGAATTACTACTTGTGTATTGTAGAATGCTGAAACACCGATGACAGCAAATTTTACCTGTACGTGACCCTAAACAGTGACATTAAAGGCCACGCCCAAATACATTTAATCATGTAAAGAGAGACACGGATGATTTTTTTTTATTGGAACTATTATACATTGGGGGTAACAAAAATACCAATGACAGCAACTTTATCCTGTACATAAGCCCAGACAGCAACCCCAAGGGACCCACGGGAGTCTTATATAGTAGCAACATGATAAAATCATGCAAAGAGAGACATGAATGAAACCAACTAGGAATTTCTACTTGTACATTGTAGAATGCTGAAACACCGATGACAGCAATTTGTTCATGTACTTGACCCTAAACAGTGACATTAAAGGCCACGCCCAAATGACATTAATCATGTGAAGAGAGTCATGGATGATTTTTTTTATTGGCACTATTATACATTGGGAGTAACATAAGTACCAATGACAGCAACTTTATCCTGCACATAAGCCCAGACAGCAGCCCTAGGTTCCCAAATGAACTTATTATTTATAGTATGGTATGGTCGAATCTAATAATGATTAGAGATAGTAGAATGCAACTGAAACACCTGATTATGACACAGACAGTGATTCTTGAGATCAACTTCTGAATAAAACAGGAATTAAGTGAAGGATTGGACCATTTACACTGGAACTTTTAAACATTGGAAAGAAAATCCATTTGACAGCAATTATTTACTACTTCAGCTATAGATTTCTGTTTGATAAAATTTTGTTGAACACTGACTTCAGATGAAATACAACAATACCATAATACAAACTCAGTAACAAATATTTATTAGATCGGATTAAACTACAGAACATGAATTGTCTATACATGATAAATGGTACAGCGTCAAGGTGTATTTCAATCAGATTGTTGAAAAATATGTAATCATAGGATTAGAACCTGGTAGCACTTTATTGACTAACATTATAAAATGTATTAACTTTTGACAGCATTCTCTTCTTGGTTACAGATGTAACAGCATTATACTATATTTAGTCAATAAAGTGATACAAGTTTTGAATTTTACATTGCTTCTTCTACTATTACAACAAATGTGTCCACTATATGGATTATGGATTCATTGTAAATCAAGTATCTATACGATTTTAATATATTGCATATACAATTGAACTGCGGTATTGTACACTGCGGTAACAATGTGTTTGTAGCAGTACGATACAAAGCACAAGCAAGAAACACTTAACTAATAGTTAAATTATTCCCCGCTGGACACCATCCCGGTATTTCTGAGTCTAGGTTTCGGGGCTAGAATTTTAATGAAACTACTTTAATTTTTCTACATTAGTAAGCATAAACAAATAAACGCTTATAAAATTAAAAATGGAGGTATTGTACATTGCTGTAACAATGCGTTTTAGCATTTCAATATGGTAGAGCGATTAAAGTTGAATTTCAGGTAGAATCGTGCACTTCTGGAAGAAAGCATGAAACTTCCCATAGTGATACTATGACACCTAAAGATCATAAAAAAATAGACCCCAAAAGATAACGCCTCCTAATGGCCACCATCTTGAAATCCAATATGGCCGCCAAAATAATTGATTTTAGCCAATATATTCATACCTACAGCACATGTCATTGACAATTGAAGATCATTACCCATTTTTTTCAATATCAAGGATATTGATATGTCAGATGGCGCCGCCATATTGGATTTCAAGATGGCCGCCAAATTAATGATATTTTTGTCAATATTCATATCTACAGTACCTAGCACTGTCAATCAAAGACAGTTGCACATGTTTTCCATAACAGGGACTACCATACAGCCATCAGAAATTATGTCAGAAGACCACCATATTAAATTTCAAAATGACCGTCATCTTGAACTTAAATATTGCCGCCAAAATAATTAATTTTAGCCTATGTATTCATATTTACAGCACATATCACACCAATTGAATATCATAATAGATCAGCTTGTGAGTTACCCAATAAAACCTACTGGAAAATGTTCGGCATAGTACAAGAATGGCCACTACCAGACATTCTTAATGGTGGAAATAATATTTCCACTCCTTGCCAGATTATTTTTAGCTGATGCAGTAAAACTTAAGTAGGATATATAGACCGACCAGGAAATAGGTGTGCTATTTGTAGTACAAAGGAGTACTCAATGTTAAAAAGAGGTTTCCTGTATTTTTGTGTGAACACGGAAGCAAACTTTTTAAAATCACGTTTCTTCAATGAGTCTTTTGGCTTCATTAGTATTTCAAATGCATCAAGAGTCAATCAGTTAATTGATTGGATAAGGCTTTTTATTATCGGCACACATTTATGATGTAACCTTACAAAACAAAAACTAAAGCATAAGCAAATAATGTGTTCCACCTTACACAATAGGTAAACTGATGAAAACATTCAGTTGGAAAACCAGGAGGAAAAATACAACGGAAAATACTGGGACAAGACAGCCGGGGGGAAATAGCAGTTTGAAAACAGCCTTAAGAAATAGCTGGATGGAAAAGAAATCTTCTAGTGGAAAAAATCCGAGGCGAAAATTAGGTGGCAAGTGCCATAGTGGTATTTTCTTTGAATTAAAACCTAAGACCTTTTCGATTTTGAGTCTATACTCAGTCTTCAAATCTTCCCTGGGGAGAGAGATAGATGCAGATATTAAAAATCATCTATATTAAAGCTAGTTTTAGCATAAATGAAATTATGTAAACATAAATCAAATATGTATAAGAGACAGAATTAATGGTGTGAAGACACTAATATCGAATAGACCTCATGCCTATGAGATGGCTAATTATCATTTTTCAAATGGTATATAAACACATATGTGAATATTGAAAGGAAAAGAAACAGAAAACTAAAGAAGGAAAAAATGAAGAACGGAAAGGAAAAAACCGGAAAGGAAAAGAATAGAAAATGAATATAATGGAGAAAGTGAAAAGAAAAAAAAGAAAAATCAAGAAAAATTAGGAAAAGTATATATAAGGTAACTTTAGCATAAATGAAATTATGTAGACATAAATTAAATATCACATTCAACTAATGGTATGAAGACAATAATATCGAATAAACTAGATATCATTTTCAAATATGCATAATTATATAA